GAGGAAGTATGTCAACAGGGAAGGAGGACCTATGGGGGTTTATTGCCTCATCCCACTTAGTGTTCACATTCTCTGCTTACTGTGTGGGGATAAACAAGTGATCAGCCTTCTTCCCGCTCCTGCTGCCATGTTATACCTTCCCTCTCTCTGGAACCATAAACAAAAATAAATGCTTTATTTCTTAAATTACTTTTGGTCATGGTATAAGTAATTAACATGAAGACAGATACAAAAAGGCGCAATGCACTCCGGAAACTCTGAGAGAACTGGCAGAGTTGTTAGGTCCAGGGACTGGGAGATGGCTTTGGGAAGTAGATGGCATTGAAACTGAGGTTGAAGGGAACACGATGCTGTTGGGAAGCAGTAGAGCGGAAGGTGAGGGGACAGCACCGTCAAGATCACAAGACCTAGGAGTGAGTCTGCCTGGCAGAAGGGCAAGTCACACAAATTGATGTGTGTAAAGGAGGACAAGGAGGGAAAGTGGGGGAGCTGAGGGATGTAGGGAATGTTGCTATGCCAAGGAAGCAGACTCTAGATACTACGGAACATCCTTTTCCTAGGTGGGATAAAGCATTCTTTAAACTGGATTTTAGTTTGTGGTTTTGAGCACCAGAAAGCCAACACCACCTGTTAAATTAATAATTTCAAATTTGAATTTTCCTAATTTTTTTGTTCTGGCAAGTTCATGGGGTAGGGTTGTAATTTTCTTTTGGTTTCCTAACTGTGTAAGCATTTAGAGTATAAGGCACTTAAGCACACTTACAAGCTTTTATTTGAACAAGATGTAGTATGACGAAATTAAACTTTTTCTTTAAGGGGAGTTGATATTGAACTGAAGTGAGAAGGATTTGTCCAGGAAAAGATTACTAATGAGTGTTGCTTCCAACTCCATCCTGGTCAACCCTTCTTTGTTAAGGGGTGCTCTGGGTATGTTATTCAGCAGAGTTAAATATCAGCACCTTAAATCTCCTCACCACAATCATGTTACAGTAGATTCTTATACAACAAGGAAATAATTTTATTAAAAGTAAGAGCTAGAATTTGACCTTTTAAGTAATGGAATTTTAATAGCCAGAGCATTTGAAGTAATCACTCCACAAGATCTTAATGTAGAATGGAACTTTGTAGAACTTTCCCTAGGTCCACTCTTTAGATGCAACATCTTGTAGAAACCAATGAGGCGTCTCTGACCATTTTATAGTTTTGCGACACCCCCCCCTCTACAAAAAGGAAGATTTTACTGGATTTAACTAACAAGCCCTGAGAACGAGCAGTTCTTATTTCTCCTTCATTTGTTTCCATAGTGACAGCTGATGCACTCTTGAATATAAACTGAAGAAGACTCATTTTCTGGTGAAAAGGACTTTTAAACTATGCAAAGACTTGCCCCCACCTCACCCCCATCTCTATCTAGATTTTGAACCTGTGAGCCTATTGTAGTTTGAATAAGAATGGCCCTCATAGGCTCATATATTTGAATGCTTGGTCATTAGGGAGTGGCAGTACTTGACAAGGATTAGGAGGTGTGGCCTTGTTGTAGTAGGTGTGATCTTACTGGAGGAAGTGAGTCACTGAGGGGGTAGGCTTTGGGGTTCCACATGCTTAAGTCTCTTTCTGCTCCATGTGAATCCTGATGTAGAACTCTCAGCTACTTCTCCAGCAACATGTCTGCCTGCATGCTGCCATGCTTCCTGCAATTACAATAATGACCTAAACCTCTGAAACTGTAAGCCAGCCCCAATTAAATGTTTTCTTTGATAAGAGGTACTGTGGCCATGGCATCTCTTCACAGTGCTAGAACACTGACTAAGACAAAGCCTTTCAAAATGGTGCAAAAAGCAGTGAGTATATTTTGTTAAACAAGACTTTGTTAGGATTTGAAAAGTACTGAAAGACCATATTTTAAAACTTACACCAAAACATTCAAGAAAATTAAGATGTTTATATGTTCAACTTCTTTTGTTTTTGTTTTTGTTTTTTTTTTTTTTTTTTTGGTTTTTCGAGACAGGGTTTCTTTGTGCAGCTTTGCGCCTTTCCTGGGACTCACTTGGTAGCCCAGGCTGGCCTCGAACTCACAGAGATCCGCCTGGCTCTGCCTCCCAAGTGCTGGGATTAAAGGCGTGCGCCACCACCGCCCGGCTTGTTTTTGTTTTTTGAAGACAGGGTTTCTGTGTGTCACAGTCCTAGTTGTCCTGGAACTCACTATGTCGACCAGGATGGCCTCAAACTCACAGAACTCTACCTTCCACTTCCTCCTGAGTTCTGGGATTAAAGATATGTACCACCATGCCCAGCTATGTTCAACATTTAAAGTTAAAAGGCATTGATGATTCAATTGTATTAGTTAGGGTTGCTATTACTATGATAAAACATCATGACCAAAGCAACCTGGGGAGGCAAGGGTTTCTTTGGCTTACACTTCCATATGACAGTTCCTTATCAAAAACATGAGAACAGAAACTCAAACAGGGCAGGAACCTGGAGGCAGGAGCTGATGCAGAGGTCATGGAAGGGTGCTGCTTACTGGCTTGCTCCTCGTGGCTTGTTCAGTCTGCTTTCTTATAGAACCCAGGACCACCAGCCCAGGGATGGCACCACCCACCATAGGTTGGGCCCTCCCCCATCAATCTCTAATTTAAAAAATGCCCTACCGTCTTGCCTACAGCCCCATGTTATGGAGGCCTTTTCTCTTTGGAGGCTCCCTCCTCTCAGATGACTAAAGCTTGTGCCAAATTGTCATAAAACTAGTCAGCACACAGTGAAGGAGTCAGAAGGAAACTAGCTCAGGTCTCATACACGGTATTATCACAATCACGTTTCTTTTTATTGTTAGTACATCGGGCTGGCTTTTGGTTCACATTTTACTTCCATCATTGTCCTTCCCTCTTCTTTCACTCCTTTACTACTTTCTTTTATTTCTTCCTCTCTACCCTTTTCTTCCAGGAGTAGGTTACACTTTTGACTAAAGAATAATTAATAAAACATATGTTGTATTTGAGTACGACTCAATACTGTGTATTATTTACTTAAAATGCAGTGAATTGAACTTTGTGTTTTGTTTTGTTTTGTTTTTTAATAACATTTTTATTGTGTGTGGGTCTGTCTCTCTGCTGGAGGGCAGCTGTGGGAGTCAATGTTTTCCTTCCACTGTGTGGGTCTTGGGTATCAACCTCAAGTCATCAGGCCCAGCAACAGGTGCCCCTGTTTTTCTCTCTAAGGAAATAAGATAAGTTACCTTTTCCTTTGTGCATGAACGTTTGTGAGAGTGATAGAGCTGAGTGTGGGGAACGGTGAGCTTGGGCGCCCGTAGGACTAGATCCACGGGGACTTGTCTCACTCAAGAGGACTAGCTGAGGTTATGGATGCCTCTAAGAGTTCTCTTCCCCCACAATCTTCCTTCCATTGCTTCTTTCCATCTTTTGTCTCTGCTCATCCTTTCTTTTTACTGAGTCCCTACTCTGGCTCTAGCATGTCACAATGATCTGGGGTTATTAGATGAATTGATATAAATTCCGTGTGGGTTTGCATGTGTAAATATGCAATGACTTATCATCTCCAACTCCAGTTTTAAAGCAAAGTCAATGTCGATGATTTGATCTAACTGCTCTTTGGTGGAATAACCAGGCTTTGACAGCAGTTTGTAGACACTGCTTCCTGGGAGCTGAGCAGTGCTGCCGATGACATGGGAGAAGAAATCTCCGGGTCTCTCAGAACAATCAAACCCAGGTTCTTCTTTCTCATTTTCACACTTTGACCATTGCAATCAGATAGATGATGCCTTGATTTGTCCCAAGAACACATTCATAGTAAAACTCTTGCCCAAACAGAAAGTGAAAATATTTTTATTTATTGTGACTAAAAAACAGAAAGTGAAATGGTTATTCTTGTTGTTTTTCAGCAAATAAATCTGGAAGCCAGAAATGATTCTCAGTACGGTTATGGGACTTCACTATTCCTTGTCCAAGGCAAGGAAAGGGGCATGTGTGAATGCTATACGTCCATTAGATTAGATACGTGACATTTTCTAAGAACTAGTGTCTGTGCTAGCCAGACACTATATTATTATTATTATTATTATTATTATTATTATTATTATTATTATATAATTATTAAAGTCTCTGAGACTTTCAGTGGTATTTATGCTGGAAGATGGAGCCACATTTGTAATAAAAAAAAACATAACGAGAAATTAGAGTATGGTGGGAAATTAGTATATGGTTGGAAATAAGGTGGTTCAGTAGTGACTGAGTTAAAAGAGATTAAAAAATTAGCCTATAAAACAGGAAATTGTTCTTACGAAGAAGTCGGAACCTAGTTATTCCGAGAGCGTCGTCAACAGCTTTGCTTTGTAACAGTACTGAGAGCTGAAGAAAGGAGGCCGAGACAGCCATCTCACGTGGCCGCTGCACACCTTCTCCCTCCCCAATAAAGAACAGAAGTAACGTGACCGCACCAGCCTCCAGTAGTGTTGTCAGCTTTTAGGAACATACGGTGAGAAATCCCTTGAAAAACAAGATCAAAGGCACTGAATTTAGAATCCTAATTGATAATCCGCACATTCTGTGCCAGAGAAACATGACGAACCTCCTACCCCAAAGAAAGCCAAAATGTCAAAGCTCACAGAAGGCACTCCTCTTAGGACAAGAGAGCTAAAGGTGTCCTGTCTTCCTGGTGACATTTGTCTTTCTCCCTGTGTCTTCCTTTCCTTCTATAAACTCGCACTCAGTTGCCTCATTCTGAAATTCTAAGACAGGGAGATCAGTGGGGGCTAGGGACCATGCTGCTGCTGTTGGTTTTTTCAATGTCATGGAAGAAGAGATAATTCTACGTACAGATGACAGGTGAGAATAAAGAGTGAGGAAGGCAAAGTAGATTGGGTAGAATATTCAGAAAACCATAAAGATAATAGAATTCCCGGTGTGAACAGAACAGGGACATGCCTATGGAATACCGCTGATGGGCCAAAACTATGACTCATGAACACAGAAAGAAGTACAATGTAAAGACTTAGAGAGCGTATTTAATAAAGTTATAGCAGATAATTTTCCAAATCTAAGGGGAGGTGGCCATTCAGACGCAGGAGACACATTGGATGTCATACATACAAGATCAGGAAAGAACCCCTTCCTGTTATAGTGTTGTTAAAATGCTAAATACACAGAGCGGAGAAAGAGTATTTACAGGTGCAGGAGTGAGGCCCTGGGGCCCGTAGAAGACCACACCCATCAGAGTACTGACGGAGGTCTCAGCAGAAACTCTGAAAGCCGGGAGGGTATGCAGTGGTGGGCTTCAGCCTCCGAAAGATAATTGCCAACAAAGATTACTCTAAACAACAAACTATCCTTCCTAATTGAAAGAAAAGGAAAAAAATTTCTATGATAAACTCAAATTAAAGGAATTCATGCCCACTGTGCCAGCAGGATACCTGGAGGAAACTTACACGCCAAAGATAAAAACATCTGAGAGTTTACAATGTATTCTGAATACTCCTCCCACAATTACCTCTCTACCCTCCTATGCCTTTCCAACTAACTTTTAGATTTCTTATCCTCCCGCGCCCCCTGCCATTCCCTACGGAGTCCAGTTTGTATTGCCCAGCTAATCTTTGGAAGCGGGGCCTACCCTGGAGTGTGGTCAAGCCTACCAGTGGTTATATCACTGAAAAACAAAACAAAGAATGACTGTCCCTTTTCTAGGAGCTATCAAATGCCTACGCTATGGTGAGATTTTGTGACTGTCTATTTTTTCTCTCCTTGCTTTTCTAGTCCTTCATTCCCACACAGCTACCATTCTATCTTCCATCTCTTCTTTCTCTTCGGTTGATCTCTTCCTGATCCTGGCTAATTCCCATCCATTGTCTCTCCACCCTGTCAGCAGAGTCAGTTTGCAGAACCAGACATTTTACCAACTCATCAATGACATCTATTCCCTCTCACCTTTTGGCTAAAAAGAAAATGACTTTGCTCCTCAGGCGGCATCCTTCCTGAACTGGCTCCTGCGCCTGGGTCTCTAGGTTTATCTTCTAAAACTGCTTGGTACAACCCATCCTCCGGGTGGGACTCCCTCAGTTCCGTAAACACTGTGCACCCTCTGCGTCGGAGCCTTGTCACAAGCTGCGTTCTCTGCCCGGTCCATCTTCTGTGGCTCTTTCTCATCCTGCTTATCTGTCACCAGTCTGTTTGATGTCGTGACCACCAAGTTTCATTAAGACGTCTCTCTTTCTGTGTCGACAGGGCCAGTGTCACACGTTTATCCCTCCAGCCACACTGCACACTTCCAGAGTGGTTTCTTTTCACACTTCTGGATTTTCTACAATAGTCATCCTTTTTACATTCTAATGCAAAGACTGAAATAGAACTCTTGATGGAATTGGTGGACTTTAGCTGCCGAAGAGCGAGGTGTGGAAGTAAATTGGGTGATGGGTAGGCGTTTTTGTACCTGTTTTCAAACATCTGAGGGACTTTTCGGAGATGAGTTGAGATGTCCAGCTGGTGGAGACTGCCAGATGCAGATTTCCTCCACCATAAGAACAGGCAAAAAAAAAAAGAATGAATCACTCCAGACTCTCTTCAGAAAGGGCCACCCTCTCCTAGTTAGAACAAAATTTCTGTTAGAAAACGGAATTCCTTTTCTGGAGTGTTGGGTCAGATAGTCCACAGGTCTCTTCCACTCTTTGGGTTTCACCATTGTTTTGTGAAAAGGAGATGTTGATTCCACACTTATGCCTTGAAAATAGATTGACACAGCACTATTCTGAGATTTCTATAGAAGCCGGAGTCTAAGCCCCTCCCAGAATGTAAGCCTCTCCCAGAATGCAGGTGTAGGCCTGGTTCTTGTGAGGAATGTTTGACAGGGTGTTTTTTCCTTCTTTGTGTCATTCTTTTCATTCTCAGCAGGATCCCACTCCTGGCATTGTAGAAGTAATAGTATAGCAGTAAGCAAACAAGTTTTGTGTATCCTATATCTTTCTTAACTTATTCTGTATCACATTCCTTTTTGCAGTCGAATTATTGATCTAAGTAAGCTGTGAAATGTGCAATTACTTTTTATGTCACCTTTGCAGCCTTTATATCTAGTTTTAGTATGGATTGCACGAGTGATTGTTAAACTAAATTAAATTTAGGCAATCGATAAACAGAAGCACACAATCTACTTTGTTTCAGTAATCTACTAGAAGGATTAAACAAAACAAAACCCACAATAAAACTAAGTAAACATGGAACCTCAGTATACTCAGTATTTACTGGAGTTGGGCTATGTCTGAAGACAATAATAATTGTTTTTCTTTCTAAAGACAGAGAGCAGTCTGAGAGAGAAGGTGGTAGGAATAGAGATTTGTGGATGAAGGGCAAGGTGGTTAGGATGCAGAGGGAGATTGCTCGCAGGTAAGGGCAGAATCAGTTAGCAAAGGTCAGACATCCAAATGAAACCTTGACAGCTCTGTCCCCAGCCCTGTTGGCCGCTCAGCCGCAGCAGCAGAGATGGTTAATGAGGAGGAGTGTCTGTGAACACTGGATCAAGACAGACACTGCCTTCCAGCAGGCAGTATGGCCTGTGTTCCAGAAAGTTGCCAATCAAGGCTGGAGCAGAGCGACTTTCTGACAGGGACTGGCAATGTACTGACTCCATTTGCTTTCCTTGTTCCAAGAGACACAAAGTCACCACTCCACATGACATCAAAATCCCAAGGACCCTCTTTCTTTCTCATTCTCTCGTACACACACCCATAATTCCTCCTCACATCTGTTCATGCATATATATATATATATATATATATATATATATATATATATGTATTTATATGTATATGTACATATATACACACATATATAATCAGGTCTAATAGAAGAGATCTCTTTGTACCTTTCTCTCTAACATTTTCTAGACTAATAATTAACTTCCCCTTTGTCCCCAAATTTGGTATTTTAAAATTCTGGGTCACCCAAAGAAGACAAAGGGTTTTTGTTTTTATGTCTAACTGCCACCAGCCCTAAAGGAAATGCCAATGGGGCATTCTAAACAATCTTTGGGAGCAGAGATTCGCTGTGAAATAACTGAAATACCTGACAGTTAAAGCTGAAGGGAATAAGAGTTACCTGGAATTGCAGAGCTTGCTAAAAACAAACCCGGCCTCCTTGCTTTCTAATTGCGGCTTCTGTTAGCTTTCTTCCTAATGTGGAGGTGTTGCCAAGGCAATAGCTTAGCAATCTTCTGCATGGCTGCTTTCCACAGCCATCCACAGACTTTACAGACGCTAATCTGTTCAGCACACCTTTGCAATCCAAAAGGATGGAGATGTGTGTGTGTGTGTGTGTGTGTGTGTGTGTGTGTGTGTGTGTGTGTGTGTTCATATATATATATGTATGTATACTGGGGAAAGATCATTAGAAAACAAGCTGCCTTATCTTCTCTGCATCCCAGGACATAGTGTCAGCACCCACCATGGATTTTGACGTGGCCTCAGGATCTCAGCACAGTACCCAGGAAGAAGGGAGGGAAGGTAGAATAAGAGAACAGCACACCTAAAGGGGATGTGAATAGTATCTCAGATCAGGGACATTTTGGCAAGATTGAGAAGTCCAGTTATTGAGGCCAGGTAGACACGGGAGGCAGGAGCCTCCAAAGGAGCCAAAGACAAAGCTCACAGTTCAAAGCCCAAGGTGGGAACCAAAGTCGTGAACTGAATTGAGCAAAACTGTCGAGTGTCAGCATCCAGAAAGGGCTCCTGGGACTACTCGGTGTTGCTGCACCCCCTTGTCTCTACTGTGGGGCAGCTCTTTGGAAAGTATTCTCTATGGGTGGCTCTGGGCTAGACTCACAGGAAGCTGTTTAAAATTTCATGAGGCTTACTCTAGGAGACAGAACAAGAGGCCTTTGCAGATATCTCTGGAGTCATGATGCCCACTGAAGTCGTAATATTGATATACTAAGGCAAGGCCTGTCCCAGAACAGGAAAGTGATGTACTGAGGCTGCAAAATTTTAGCAGGTATTCACTTTTAGGGACTAAAGATGCAGAGTCCTTGAGGCTTGGAGAGCCAAAAGGCCCATTCCTCTAAGGCCGCACTGGGCACAAACACAAGAGCACTTGGAGTTAGCAAATCCATGGGTAGTGCTCCTTGGAACCAATAACATCATTAATATCCAGAGACTCCCTGGCATCTCCTATAATAGGATGGATAAAAATAACCATAACCCAGTGAAACAAAAGTTTTGCTCAAAACCATAGTGAAGACATTTATTTTTATCCATTTCCTGGCTGGAACATTCTAAGCACCAGCCCAAGAGGATTCATTTTAAAAAGAGCAGAGAGGAAGTTACGTCAAGGTCTCAGCAAGTACTTGTCGAGTGAGTCAATGATGTCAGAACTGCCAATGTGGAGAAGGGACTGGTATGAACTCCACCACAGTACTCCATGTCCTTTAGTTTGGTTTCAGTTGGGTTTACTTTTTTATACTTGCTTCCACATCTTCTACCTAACATGTACCAGGTGGATACTGCATGTAGTGCCCACAGAGTGTTCCTCCAAAGCCTGTCATGTAAGCCACTTTGCATGACTCTGATCTTACCCAGGTAAGACGACAGGAAAAAAAAAAATATGATCAAAAGGAACCATGCAAACGTATTTGATTTTGACTGGGACTGATGTCTAAGACAGGCTCAAAACGCACCTTCTAAACCTAACCAGCAACTTTCTAGCTTTTCAGATCTGGGTGTGATTTTCTTTCTTTCAGTTTTCCCACTTAGCTCTCCAGTTTGGGTCTGTGTCTGGGGTTGTCATCCATTATCTGGATTTATAGTTGCTGAAGACTTGCTTTAATAATTCACAAGGAATAGAACTCTCTCTGGCCTCTCCTTTTTCTTGATCATCTCAGTGAGGCAGATAGATGAAAAGATGCCTTTTGTCAGTGAAATAAATCAAGAGGAATCTGAGACACCATAGGCACCCGAACACTGAAATACTTAACATTTCTCCTCGATGCACAGTGAACTAGAACCAAAACAAGGCAGGCTCTGTGGTGGAGCCCTGGTTCTAGGAGGCTGGGTACCAAAAACACAACTTCTCCCCCAAGACCCCAGAATGTCAAGCTGATTTACCAGAAAGGCTCAATGCCTTGCCTTTCAAGGCAGAGAAAACACCTAGTGGACATTGACATTCTAAATGTATTTGATGTGTAAATGCATACAAAATGAAATTCTAAATGTATATGGTGTATAAAATACATTCAGCATTTGTTGGTTATTATAGTAGCAACTACTGCACACTATTTATGTAACTGCAGAACATGGTGCTTTGCATTTTCTAAGGAGCATCAGACAACAGACAGGGAAGAGCCTCATGGGAACAGACTGCTGCTTCAGGATTCTTTAACATTGTGTGTAACAAGTTCTGTGTCAGGCGCAAATCCCCAGTCTTCTCAACCCAGAAGAAGCCCTCATTAAATTTCAGACAGAGAGGAAGAAAGAAAGTGCCTCACCCTGTAGCCTGTGGCCAGCTCTGCTCCCAAAGCAAACAGCACTGTGTCTCAAAGGTAATGCAGACCACTCGGTCTACAGCCAACTTCAATACGTGGTTCCTTCCTGAAGCCAATAATTGGGCCTACTCCATGTGGTAGACACATCCCTCTGGATGAACCATGTTTTTATTTAGGTACACATGGAAGCCATGTGGTTGAAGAGCCCCAGCAAGCAAGCTGATGCTTGTTCTATGCTCTCTCAGACCTCCTTTGTTGCAAGTGAATAAATCTCAACCTGTGGTCCCCCCACACCAAGAAGACACCAGGACAAACCAGCTAAACTCAGACCATGGAATGCCCTACCAGATATGGAATGCCTTTTTAATATCTTTTCTGTGACTGTGACACTTCATGTGAATGACATACTTCACAAGTACACTCAATACCTTGCCTGCTGACAGCTACCCATAATCCTTTTTGAGTCCTGTTTCAGCGAAATCCATGTGTTTAAGTTCAATTTTGTAGCACACAAATAATATTGAGTAATTTCTAGTTAGATGCTGTAAACCTGTGCTATCATGGATTTCTATTCTTCCCAGAGAAGAATAGAAACAAGATAGACAGCCCTGTTGTGAGTGAAGAGCTGGGTTATTTGCTTTATGTTTTAAGATCGGAGACCAGGTGGGTGGGAAAATCCTGCTGGGGACCTTGCAAGTGAACCAGGGCCTGTTCGTGGAGGCCGGCACAGCTCCTTCTTGTGTTTACATCGAACTCCCACCCTGACTCGACATTCCTGGAGTCTGCAGTTTGATTTTGGCCCTAGCTGTTTTCACAGACTGTTCTTGCTTATGTTTGCACATGTTACTCCTAAAAGCAAGCATGTCTGGGGCCTAGCAGTTGAGTTAAACAATAATGATGCCTTTGTAGAATACATACTTCTGTATGTAAAATGGAGTCTGAAATAACTTTTTCTTTTCGTTGGCTTGTGGTCATGAAATCAAATCCAGGGCATTGGGCATGCCAAGAAAGCGCTAGGCTGTGGAGCTTCATCCGCAGACCTTTAGGTCTTTTTGCTTGTTTTTGCTTTTGTCTGTCTGTCTGTTCTGAAGTAAGGTCTCTCTACATAGCCCCAGGCTAGCCTGGAGCTCACTTCCCCCTCCTTTGTCTCCTAAATACTGGAATCATGGACCATGCCAGCATGCCTAACCTCTAATATGTCTCTAACTGCCTATACGTGTACAGACATTTAAAAACATAAAATATTAACCTTATTTATATGTGACATTCTTTTAGGTAATTAGAGAAAATTAGCCTCAGTTTCTCTTGACTTTTAGTAATAAACTGGCATCTCATTTTTCACATATCATAAAGATGAGCTAAAGGAGCATAATTGTTCTGTTGTTTTTGTTAAAATGTAATTTGAAATTGGAATAAAATAGAGTAAATGTAGGGGAGGCCAGAATCCAGACTCTTCACCAAGTTTAATGTGCTAAGCCCTGGGGATATGAAGCCACAGCCTCTTGGTATGCTCCAGAAACTCTAGCTGCCAAAATCATAGCTACTCTTTATTTTTCCATTGCATTTTAAAAGTTGCAGAGGACACAAAAGGGTTTCAGCTCAGTCTTCCAACTTTCTCCAGGCTAAAGACAGAATGGATCCCTATGCGCCTCCAAGAATGGCCTTGTTCCACACTTTGTCTTAACGAAGGTCAACTCTCTTAGTGTCTAACCTACCCTGGCTCCAATACAGGAGATGTGGCCTAGGCTTCACTGCAGGGACTCCAGAGAAGGCTGTGTTGTTCAAATATTCTAACCCAGGCTGTCTACCCTCCCACCAAGACCACTGCTCCACAATACTGGCAAGCTACTCCTAAAGCTGCTTCCTCTCCATGCTCCCTTCCTTCCCCCACTTCCTCCCATCCTTACCTTGCTTCTTTTCTATTGTTCTCTAGTCTAGATGGCATCCAAAAAGTAAATGGCAGAGATGTCTGAGCCTTCTTCAACCTGTATATTCTGCTTCTCAGTTAGGAAGAGACAGACAGATAGACAGGAAGAAAGATAGATGTCACTGGGTTAGGCAGCCCTGATTTGTGTCCTAGTCAGTAATTGATTGTGCAATGGTGAACACGTGCAACTCTTCTCCAGCCTTAGTTTCCCATAAAGATAGTACTAGACCTACTCGAAAAGTTACCTAGAGAGGGGGTGGGTGCTCATGGAGTTCAGCAGCAAAGTACATACTTAGCATGAGCAAGGCCTCGGGTTAGAGTGACACCTGCCCCTGACAGAGATTATTGGGAGAATTAACTGATGTCACAGATCTTAAAACATAAAGCAAATAACCCAGCTCTTCACTCACAACAGGGCTGTCTATCTTGTTTCCCATCATCCCTTTCTCTCAATGCCTATTTGTAGACTATATTGGGATCTCTAAACTCCTCCTAACACTCTAGGCCGTCAGCACATCACCACATATGGTTTTGATGACTGCTGAGTGACTGTTAATGATCCAGTGATGAAGAAGTTTGGATACTGGTGTGGGACAGAGAAAAACCAATATTTTTATTTAAAGCAGGTTAATTATAAATACAATATCTTTCTAAAAGAAGAAAGGGGGATATGATATAGATATATAGGATACAAATAAGGTAGGATAAAAGGGTGGATTGTCAAATCTACTTTTAAAGAGCAACAACTTGCTTGAAATGTTTTACATTGCTATGGATTTTAGTTTATTGATACATATTTAAAGTTAATTTTGTTATACTGT